AAAGAGGTGTGACCAGCAGGACGAGGGAGGTCATCCTGCCCCTATACTCCACTCTTGTAAGACCCCACCTGGAGTACTGTGTCCAGCTCTGGGGGCCCCAGCACAAGAAAGACATGGAGCTGTGGGAGCGAGTCCAGAGGAGGGCCACGAAGCTGATCAGAGGGCTGGAGCACCTCTCCTATGAGGACAGGCTGAGAGAGTTGGGGTTGCTCAGCCTGGAGAAAAGGCGGCTCTGGGGAGACCTAATTGCGGCCTACCTGTATCTGAAGGGGCCTACAGGAACGATGGTGAGGGACTGTTTATCAGGGAGTGTAGTGACAGCACAAGGGGTAATGGGTTTAAGCTGAAGGAGGGTCGATTTAGATTAGATGTTAGAAAGAAATTCTTTACTGAGGCACTGGAACAGGTTGCCCAGAGAGGTTGTGGAGCCCCCATCCCTGGAATTGTTTAAGACCAGGCTGGATGAGGCTTTGGGCAACGTGGTCTAGTGGAGGGTGTCCCTGCCCTCGGCAGGGGGGTTGGAACTAGATCATCTTTGAGGTCCCTTCCAACCCTAAGCATTCTATGATTCTATGAAATGTCCCCAGATTTTCCAAAATGACAATGTTGAGACCTCACCTTTTTAAACTGATCTTTGCAGAAACTTTTCATCTTCTCATTTACTGGAACAGAGACTTGTAATACACACTTCTGCTCACGTTTCCTCCAACATTTATATTTAACATTTCATTACCATTAGTAATTTTATATAGAGAGGTCTCAACATGTAGAATTGTGTTTGTAGTGCTACAGTGCATTACTATTTTTGTATCCTCAAAAATCTAATCATGGGAGGGTTCCACACTTTGGGCTATGTCCTCACCTGTTCTCAGAATGCTGTCTGCCTTTGTGTTCCCAAGTTTAGCTGCTTGAATGAGATGTGCAGCACTAACAACGTCCTCCTTCTTCATTGACATTCCTTCCACTAAAAGCAGATCCTCTGAAGAGGAAAAGAAAGAGCCAAGAGAAAAACATTGTGATACAGTAAGTCAAGAAAAGGAGGCTGGCAAACAGGCAGTTAAGATCTTTACATCTCTCTTACTTGCACACTGAAGCCTAAATCCTGACCTATCTATCCTACCCTGAGTTTAGCCAAAGTGGTCATATCCGTATTATTCAGGGAAGTACCTGTAGAAACAGGGCATCAAACTCAGACAGTTATTGTATGGGAATTCACTAGTCTTGTCAGCCCCAAAAGTTAATAAAATAAAATATAAATGTTCTCAAACTTATCTAAGACTGAGAAGCTATTGCTGAAAGGCAATCATTGTGAAACCAAACATCACAGAATGCCTGTCAGATTACCTTACACCATGCTTAAAAAGGACAGACTAAACTCTACTACATACTTCTGGTAATTTTGAGACCAGTAGTTCCAAACGTGGCTTGCCTGGGGTATTGCCATCACTAAAAAAGACTTGTATTATGCAGGTTCTGGCAGTTCCTGGGTTGGCCGTACACAGGAATCCTATCTGGTTGCCTGTAAACCTATTCTTGTCTCCTCCTAGAAAAAGATAGCAGGTCTATTTTTCTTAATATTACCTTTGCAAATTTCTTTCTCTACTGCAATTTATTAATCGTGTTTTCAAAAATAAAGCACATAGATACCATCATGCAGTTTCTTAGCTTCTCTCTGTAATGCTATTCCAGAGGCATATGCTTCTATACATCCTTGGCTACCACACAGGCACTCTGGTCCATCTAAAGATACAACAATATGCCCAAGCTCAGCAGCACAGAAAGAACTGCCATGGATCAATTCGTGTTGATGAACGATTCCACCTCCAATTCCTGCAAAGATATGGAAACTTCTATGATTAAAAAAAAAAAAAAAAAAAAAGTAAAATACATTTTTTTAAAGGCCCCAATTCTTCAGGACATTGACATTTGCTTATTCTAACACAGACAAGACAAAATATTTACATCAATCATCTTCCATACTGGAAACCAAAAATTACTGGTTATTGAAGAACTCTTATCTGTTCATACACCTAATAAGCGAGCTCATAGTTCCCTCCTATTCATATATGTATCAAAATGGTATACGATGCTTCTCCTTTCTTAAAAAGCCAATGGATGGTAGATCTTTTAAGCTTGTGAGTCATGCTTTTTATGCACAAAACTAGCCTTTGAAGTGGCTTTAAAATTTTGCATTTCAGATGAGATGTTTTAATGTTGTATTTAGACAGCTAAACCTGTGTACTAAAGAGCCAGGACACTTAAATCTGCAATCCTCTGCTGCCCCTTCCCAAACCCTGGGTAGAGATTCATCAGGTAGTTGCTGCTGCCACCATTCTAAAGGACTATCTACTTAACAAAGAAGAAAAGTTACCCCACATTTGCATTTGAGATATAATAAGCATCATCTCTCATACTCAATTGCTTATCTTTTTGATACATATTCTGATCTGACTTGCATTTCTGCACTGGAAGAGAATTAAGCTGTAAAGCTGGAAAAAGCAAAATTATTCCAGCTAAAGTTGCTTAGATTTTCCTTATTTTGAAAGGATGGTTTGCCTGCATAGCTGTATCAGCAGAACTTCTTTTACAAGAAGCTTATAGTATGCAAAAGATTTAATTTGCTTAAATAATTAAAAAGTACCCTAAAAGAAACAAATAGATGTAGTGGCAAAAGGATTTTTGGTTTAAGAACCTAATATATGAGGCTTTTGCAGGCATAGTGGTGGTGTTTGTTTCTAAGATCAGCTAAGCGTCTGAATGATGGTGCTGGTATTTTGACTTTGGGTTCCATTGAACTATAACATACCCACCTGTACCAGTAATGAGCGTTACAAAATTTTCTATTCCTTTTCCATGACCAAATTTCCTCTCTGCTAGAGCAGCACAGTTTCCATCATTGTCCACCCAGACTGGCAGGTGCAGAGCATCAGATATTGGAGTTCTGAGATCCACAGAGCTCCACTCCTGAATGAGTTTTGTAGAGTGAAGCACAATTCCTTCTCGGGGGTTTACTCGTCCCCCTGTGGAAATACCTAAGTCCCAGAAATACAGGAGAGAAAAATCAAAACTAAGTCTTTGTAATACTTCAATTAACAAATCTGTTTTTCTCTTTGCAATGACACATATTTTAATTTCTAATACTCGGCTTTGAAGCAGAGTGTGAAAGTAATTATTTCTAAGTATTACTGGTGGTGCAGTTTCTGACATGTAAAGAAAATTCACAGAACTCCATTGCTCTAATCACAATGCACCTAATATCTTAGAACTAACTAGATGGGTAATGGTTAGTGTTAGTCAGAGAGTTAATGTTCCTACTTCAGGCAAGATTGCAGCAAATCACTTAATACCGGTGTTTCTTTTTAGCCATGTATGAAAGACACAACAGCAAACTGTAAAAAAATAAATGGTTCAAACCCTGGAACAACAGAAGCGTTCTGAAATTTGCTATAACTCTCAAGATTTAGAATGACTAAAAATAATCACTGGACTTTGAGTAGTAATTTCTACTTAAAAATACACTTTTTTCCAGAAGAATCAAAACTGTTCAGAGATTTGTCTACTGAACAGAATAATGGCTAATAATAGGCACTATTAGCCAAACTAGTTTTCTCTAGCTGGAGAGGCTTCCGAAGTTGATGGACTCTGTCAGGACTTCCAAAAAGCAGGCCATTCTATTATGGAAGTATTTAGCTCTAGACATTTTATCTATTATTCTTGTACAGAGATTATATAATTGTGTCACTTAAGACGTTCAGAGAAAAGAGTCCCAGGGTTAACATTATAATAGAAAGCAGCATAATAGAAAGCAGCACAAAAGCTACAAGACAAGCAGCTGAAATGAACATTAAAGCTGTAAGACTGTCCCCCCCCCAATCTCACTTTGTAAAGAACGAATCATCTGAGAAGCTGTCAGCAAGTACCTAATAGAAACAACATTGCCAATGTCAATCTGTATAGGTCTCCCTAAGATTTTAAGAACCAAATGTTTATTACAACAAAACCTCATTTAATACTTAGTTGCTAACTCAGCAATAGCTTAGTAAAACATGTCTACTTTTTCTACATGCTGTAATTCTGTAATTGATGTAAACAACTACGGGAATTAGCAGAAGCTCTCTCTTCATCCTCTCTGCTACCAGGTCCAGAAAGATATCTTAAATACTGCCTAGTAGCAGTAAATTGATAGCTGTCACAAATACCACTATGTAACATTTGTGCATAGATCTGAGTCTCCTTTGGTTTAAAATTTTTATTTTGTAAAAGTAAAAAAAAAAAATTCAGTAACAGGTGCTAGTGTTCTTTGCGCCTGATAGTCTTTACTCTTCCCTCACTTTCATAAAGCTGTTTTTAACATAAATGTTTTGTTTTGAGTGAAAACACAACAAAAATAACAAAATAGAAACTAACTGCAGAGCTGTTGCAATCTAGACTTATTTGATCATCAAGACAAAAAGATATTGAAAATTATTATTTTTTTCATGAGTCCTACTTTGCAAACCTGTCTGGTATTAGTGGGAGTTCTTCAATCAAAGTTACACTCATGTATCTAGTATTTTGAGTGTTGACAGGAGTTTGTAGGACTAAAAGAGGAAAACATCTTTTTTCATTGCTTTTTGATAGTAGCTCTTTCTCCTTATTCATTGCCAACAGTTATTACTTTTACTCTTACCTATGATAGCTGGAAGAAAAGCTGATAGCTGATAAAAAGTCCAGGATTAAGTCAAGCCCTTCTGCTCAGTCTTGCAAAAGTTTCTACAAAGTTATAGGAACTCTCCATCTTATGGTTATTAGCCTTAACAAAATGACTAGAATCTAATACATTAATTACTCCCCTAGAAATTATATGTCATTGTCTAAAGAGAACTTTCAATTTCAGCTAGTATTCCAATTAAAACTGTGAGTCTGAATGACACAAAGAGCAGCTAACAAAAATAGCCAGGTAAGAAATTTCTGACTCTGTAGCACAACTTTTCCCCTCATTACTCAGTAATTGAACAGCAAGGCATCAGTCACAGAAGGAAGGAGGCTGAAGAATAATTAAGAATGTCATTCTATGTAAAAGGACAAAAAAAAGGAAAGATTTTTCTCCATATATAAATCTCCGTAAACCAGTTTATGGTTTCACTGTCCTAATAAGCTATTCTTAGATACTTGCAATAGTAATTACTGCAGAGTTCACCATCTTTTCTACAGGAACTATGAGGCTTTCAAGATTTAGCATTTGGACACAATAAAATAATCTGGGTGGTTAAGGCATATGTATTACCCAACAGATAGTCTGAAAGATTTGATTTGATTTGAAGGTCTGGCATATTTCTTCTTATGGCTTTGTGTACTTAAGGTAGTTTTGGAAAATACTTTTAAAAGAAGTTAAAATTAACTTTTCTTTCTACTGTGTGATTCAAGTAAGTTTTGGTCTGGAACAATCTACTTTTTTGGGAGTATTTGTCAGCTAAAATGAGGATTTTATGTCCTCAGAAATTCAGGACACATTAATCAACACCTTCATAAATAACTGCAATATCTAAGACCAAAGCTCCCAGTCGTCATCAAACTGAAGAAGTCCCATCTGGTATAAACACACAGTTTAACTTGGAACTCTACTACAGTGTAAGTAAACCAGCCATCAACAGAAAGGCTGCTTTTGTCTCCATTAGCTGCAAATTTAATCTAACGTTTTAGCCTTTTAGTCTGCCCTAGTGTAACTGAGGATTCTGCTGTGCAGTTGATCCTGGCCATAAAGAAAGGCTTACAGGCAGTAGAAGAAACTTGACTCAGCTGCAGTTGTTTCAAGAGCTGTTTCAATATACACTAAGCATCTGACTCTCAATTTGGAGATGGCAGGGAACTTCAAAATCCACCAAAATCTGTATAGCACGCATTTTAGATACAGTTTAGATATAACTTAGCAGATTGCTTTCGTGGCTGTTACAGACTGCAGCACCTTCTATCTTTATAGTCAGCTTCTCATTTTGACAGACATTTTAAAAAGTTTTTCTGTTAAAAATGTAATTTAAGAGCTTAAAATGCACAAGATTCACTTTAGAAAAGTGTTTTAAATTAATCAGTAGTGATTTCATTTCATGTGGAAAAACTTAGATGAAAAGACAGTATTTGTTAACTTACCTACTCCCAAAATTCTGCAGTTCACATTTACCGCCTCTGATGCAGCCTCTACACACATCTTTAGAATTAATTCTAGTCTGTCTTCATAAGTTTTAGGGTTGAGCTGGGTATACTTCTTGACTATTTCACCCTAGAAATTAGAAACAACAAAACATGCCCCACAGAACTGTACTTCATGATGAGATTTCTCTTCAATTTACACAATAGGTCAACTTGAAAAGGGAGAGTCATGACATCTCTTTTTAAAAAAAAAACAACAAACAGATGTGTGCCTTAGATCTTGGTCCTATAGGCTGTTTTGTGCAAGATTCCTGACAACTCTGGGGGACTAATTTGCAAGATTAGGCATTCCATTCTGCTTCTGTAATCAGCCTCCCCTGTCTGAAATAAAATACATAGTTTAAGGAACACATGGATTATGTAAGGAAATATCAAAGGAGCTGCTGGAACTGTTGTTAGGAGTAAACTGTGATACAACAATGCACCTAAACTCAATACTATAGTGTTAAAAAGTAAGAGAGTAGCAATTGCTGAAAAAGACAGAAAACCCACAGTGCTTGAAGAATAAAATGTTTCCAATTTGATTAGATGAAAGTTTCGCAGACTGTTACATACACTGCTATTTTACCAGCAGGAGGAGAGAAATGCCGGAAATGTCAATGCAAAATTTCCTTTCAGAAATAGCTTTTATTCTAAGCAATTATACTTCTGAGTCACTTGAACTATTTCTGAAGTACCAATTACTGTGATGTATGCTGTACAGGGGAGGGAGGGACCAAGCTGAAGGGATTATTTTCAACCCTAGGAGTCATGCAGTGGTAATGAAAGCATTCATTGTGCATGCCTGAATTTGTGGCTACTACAAAACTAATTTTAATGTTACGTTAAGTATTAGGCCACGAAACTGCAGAAGATATGCTGCTTAGCAATGTTATTCTCCCTATTGTATCTCCAGTACTCCACAATATATCTAAGCGAATAACAGTGTATTAACACAACTAAGCCAAGAGGAGTAACAAAGTCATTGCCAAAGTGACTTAGAAAATTCTAAGATATCAATAGTTTGAGTATTAGATCCTACCACCTCAGCATCACATCAGCAATAGGTTTTGGGGATTTTTATGATGTTTAGTTTCCTCTTCACTTTTGGTTTGGAGGGGGAAGGGAATCAGAGGATGTTATTTTGGAAGACAAGGCTGCAGCAAACATTATAAGAAGACACAACAGCTTTTAAAAGGAGCTTTTGAAAAGTCCGTTATTTTATTCATGAAAAGAAAACTACACCTTCAGCTCTGCCATTTCCTGTTAAATGCTTACATCTGTTGTGTAAATTTTATCATGAAAGTCTGATCCTTTTCTCTCTCACTTGCATTTCAACTTTTATAAATGCCACCCCAAGCTACAATCTGCAAAATGCACAAGATTTTTTTTAAACTCTGTTTTTCCCCTGGCTGTGTTTGCAGAAATTGTGGTGTCAATTTTACTTCTAAAAAAAAAACCCAACAACTTTTAAAAGTTTTCTTTAAAACCTTAAAGATGTGCCAGACATCTCCTTTTAAATGAATGCAAAAATTCTGTAATATACCAGGTCAATTACCCTCTAGCTTTCTGCAGACAACTTACTTTTCTTTCTGGGTAACTATGTCTAACTGATCTAGTTGTCTGGAAGTATGCAGTGTAACGATAGGAGTGCTTGTCCAATACTGTTGAGAATAAAAGCAAAAGATTTCTCAATATGAGTTTTATTCACATCTTTAAAGTGCTACTGAGTTAAGGATTTTTACGGAGTTTTTTTCCCCCCAAACAGTAAGATGGGTACCTAAATGAGTTAAAATTCTTCAGTCCTAACCATCCTTTCATTTATCAACCTGGATAAGAATTATTTCCAATATTTTTACACCATCACCAAGTAATTTTTGTCCCATAAACTTGAAGCGCACAAGTTGAAATAGAAATTTTGTGGGTTTTTTCATTGATCTGGATAATCACCTGATGGACATGGGTGTATTTGTTTTACCAGACAATGCCTTTGCAAGTGATTTAGCACCACATTGATACTGATGCCATTTTGGTGGCCTCACTTGCAGTTTTTTAAGACTTCAGGTTTTGTTACGTTTGCCAAGTATGAACTTTCATCTTCCTAAGTCAGCTGTCAAACATTTGCAATATGTTGTCTATGACTGGCAGAGCTGTGCAAACAATGCATACTTATTAGTGCTATGACACAGGCAAAGGAAAGCTTTCTACTGTGCCTCAACCAGACAAATGGGTTGAGGAACTTCTACACATGCGACCATTAAGTCACACAGTATCCCTAAACCTGAACACCTCTCCATACAGCCTTCACAAGGCTGCAACTTCAAGCCTATTTCAAATGGGTTACTTTTACAGAAGAGAGGCACATCAAACTCAAAACTCACTCAATCTTTAAAGTCTCTAAGAATTCTACTGTATATATCAAATTCTACTAACTTTGATGATGGTATTAAACCATCAAGCATCTCTTTTCATACATCAAAGGACACAGTCAATACAATTAAAACCAAAACCAAACCAAAAACCCTGATAGGAATTTTAGAAGATCAAATCCACCACCCTTTTCCAATGCAAGATCACCAAACTGTAATGCAGCTGGTTTTGCGACCTCTTTAAACCGGTTCCTACTATTTTGGCAATGAAGACACCAGGCCCATCCAGACTATCTATTCCAGCCTTCTCTTGCATTGACAGCTAAGCTGGATAATAAGAAAAACTTTAGAGTAATTTAACCTTCTACTACTCTAATACTTTACTACTTGTTCATGCACAAGTGAATCTGATTTTTCTCTTCATGGAAGAGGCTTCTATATTAAGGCTTTTTTTTTTTTCCTCAGTTTCTTCTATTCTAGACTAAACAATTCTGGTTTCTTCAACTTTTTCCTGTTTTTCTGGTCTGTAATAATAATTTTCTCCTGATTCTCTCTCCAATTGGTCTACATCTCTGTGGTGTGATGCATTACAGTGAACACTGTTCCAGCTGAGGCTCGGCACTGTCTTACTGATAATGCTTCTATGCAGGAAGATTCTGAGAATTTTTGCTTACTGGCTGTTCTTCTCTTGGTAGAAGAGATGCAAAATTCTGTACCTTGAATTCAGCCACCACTCTCCCTCAGTAAAGTGCTTTGCTAGATGCTGATTGTTGCTCAAAATGGTTCTGTGTGTCCATTACATGGCTGTGTAAGGCAGTGGGGAAGTAAAAAAGACTGCTCTTGGAGCCTTTCCCTTTTTTGCTCGACATATAAAAAGTTGCAGGGTGAACCAAGTCACCTTCTACAGGGAACCAACACATCTGAAAGTTGTCCTATTCTCTGAAGTCTGAATGACTTCCACAGAGAGGGAGCAGCTAGGGCCATGCACCAGCAAATGGGCTTTGCTAGTTTAATAGCAGCCTTAAAAGAGCAAACCAGCAGGCGAATTTTATCAAGGCGGTATGAGAGGTGCAACAAGTGAGGGAAAATCTACTTTACCTCTCAACAGCAAAAGCCAGTAGGACTGCTTTGTTTTCGGGCTCTTTAGCATAAGCCCATACTTGACTGTAGGAACAAAACCACAAAGCCCAATGGAGTTTGCAGAATCTCTGTAAGCACAACAGAATATTTACCTTCATACTGACAATTGCTACTCGGAGATTAGTTCCACCTAGATCCACAGCCAGAGCACTCTGTGTCTCTAGAATATGGTCGATATCTTGAGAGATATTATCTTTGACAGGAGGAAAACAGAACTTCTTTTGCAATGGCTCTTTGAGGTCAATAGATTTGAGGAACTTCAAAATCCTTGGAACGGCATTACCATCTCCATATATTTTTGAGCTACAATATGACAAAAAAGGAAATTACACTATAAAGTTGAGGTTCTTAAGAAATAAACTTTTTATTCTTGTCCTTAGTTAGACAAATATGATCTCTTGAAGTTTCTAAGAACTTATACGTTAAAGAACTGAAGGTCAGTGCTATATGGCTGAAGAATAAAAAAAAGCATCATGCTGTGATCCTGCAGCTCCCCAGGAAACTTGCACTCAGGACTCTCTATGTATGATGCCTGAGGTCAATCCGGCATGTCCTTCAGGCACAAGTCAGAGGTAGGCACACAGGATGTTCTCCCTCATGCTGCTCGTATGGAACAGTCATGCTAGTCTAAGCTAACATACAAATTTTGTCGGATGTTAAATTACTATTTGTATCAAAACATTACTAATAACATTTTGCTCTACAAATACTAATCTGCATACCAAACATTGCACTATGATTCTGAATGAGACATGTGAAATGAAAAATAATTTCTAACCTCAGACTACTGCATTAAAAGCACTCCAATCAAATATGATAAACCACCTCAGGACTAAATGCCTTTTACTCTACTGCTTTAATATCCTCTCCAATGAAGCAAGATGAACGTACTTACCATGGATACTGTTTACCAAACTGCAGCTGAAGAGCATGCAGAATCTTATCCTGTGTATCAGCATCACGAACATGAAGAACATTTTCACCTAGACGACAAAAGTTAACATAATAGAACAGGTCAGCTCCTCAAATTACATTAAAGGATAAGAACTGCTTAAAAAAGAAAGAAATAATTATTTTTGTTTCCTTTGAGCACGAAAGACTCCAGCCAGATCAACATTGCTTTTCATCAGTTGTGTGCCTCCCCCTGCTCCCAGTAAAGCAATGGCGACTCCTATGACACACTGTCATGCATTACAAAACACTAGGGAGTAGAATATTAGCCTTCAATGGAATTCCATTATTAAATGTAAAATGCACAAATGAAAATGGGCTAAATGGCTACTTGTGTCATATCTGCATATCTGTGAAATACCACAATGCAGTTACTTCCTGAAGTGGTGAAGAGTTCATCTTTTTTGAAGTGAAATTTCAATACATGTCAAACATCAAACTAGCTATAAAGGAAAACAGTTGCCTATTCTGCTAAATGCAATCCACTACAAATGGAGATATATTTTAACTTGTCTATAGATAAAAGCCTCATTATCTTACATGAGACACACAAGCGGTACTAATATCATACAGGAATAGCCAGCGAAGCTATAAAATGGGTCAAAAATTATGTTGCACTGGTAGTGCCAGATGGCCTTTGTCAAGCATTCATTTGACTTTATCCTGTGGAACAAAAAAAACTCAGAACCATGAGGAAATGAAAATAGTTAAGAAAACATGTACCTGTTTCTCTTCCTGTCTGACGTGTCCCCAAGTTGATGACGGGTGTACCAAATGCTCCCACCTCTCTGACACCACAGCTGCTGTTACCAATCATACAACCAGCATGAGCAACTAGCTGAATGAACTGGTCAAATGGGACATGCTTTACTGCCCGAAAATTGGGATGATGTTCAATGCCCTTCTTCCTCATCACCCGAACCATCTCTTTGCTTCCTAGAAAAAACCCAAGAGGTAAAGTAAATTATTCAAGTTCTATTGTTAAACTGAAAGTCCAAACATGCAAAGGAGTTAATAACTTTTCATTGAGTTGCCAGCTCTGAGCTGGTTTTGTTCTCTTTTTATCCTCACACTTTAAGTTGCAGAGCTGGGCACATAAGCCCAAGTTTGATCCCAAAATCCACTGCAAAAATCCTTCTGTAGTTTTTAGTTAATCTGAGAGGCTCTAATATTGCTTTTGCATATCACGTGGTTTCCCTTCATCTTCGTCCCTGAGAAGTTGAAATGCAGTGGATGCACACCTGATGCTGAGACCATCCAGCTATTTCCATCTGGCTGGAGGTTCTGGGATAAAAGCACTCCATAAGAACCAATGTATTCTTTAAAGACATTCTGTTATGTGTCCCTCTGTCATGATGGTATTTTACTCACCTGCATCCACATTAGGAAACAGAACAAGTGTTCTCTTGTTGAAGGAGATGAGTGCATCTAGTGTCAGCTCAAACATCTTTATGGAATGTTTAATATCTGTGGTTACAGGATGTTGCAGAGCAACTATATAATCTCTGGTTTTGACATCTTCACCTGTCCAAATGGAGCCCAAGAGAAGTTTTTTTATTGGCACAGAATAGTAAAAGGGAGGACATACTTTTGAAACTACCAATGTGAAAGCCTGAACAAAGTACAGAATGGGATATCTAACACATAAATTTCAATGCTACCATAAAACTCAAGGGAATACCAGGAAGATCTAGCTTGTTATTTGCACTCTGAGAAAGTCTCAGAACTTTAGAGACCACTACCAAAACCCCAGCAAACTGTTAACTGGCAGGCCTACATTTAAAGCTTTGAAAAACTATATCAGGGTCAAGAGCCTGTTCTCACACCAGTGTAAATCTGGAATAGCATGAAAGCTCTGAAGCTGCTGAGGTTTTCTGTCAGTTCTCCATCCTCAAGCAAAGACTTCATTCCCATTGCTTTAAAAAAAGTCAGTCATACCTGGTTTAGTACATTTGATAAAAAAGTTTATCTGCAAAATATTCACCTGCTGATCTAAGAAGATTCCAGCTTCTGACTATACAGGTTAATGTGCCATATAGGAGATTGCTTTGTGAAAGATAAAAAGCAAACACAATACCCCATTGTTTATAGGAATTATTGTAAGTAAATGAACATGAAACAACAAAAGTCTTTGGTGCATGTTGCCCTGTTGCAGTGTGTTCCTCAAAAGAATGTTCATAATATAAATTCCCTTTGATTTTTTTTTTTCAGATAAGCCCTGAACAGCTCTGATTCTATTTAAATACATCCTTTACACCAAAGTAACTGTTCATCCAAGACTGTTCTGGTTTTGAACTGTTTTGCTCAGGGAAATTACCCATTCAAGGAGTTATTTTTTCAATTTCGCAAACGGACTAGATGTGTTTACTAGGGCAAATTTGTAGCTTTCCAGCTATATATGGTAGAACACAGATCAAAAGAAAGTGTAGAAATAAATAAATACTAGATATATACACTAAATATACTAGTTTTTAGAGAAGAAGCAGGTAGATGCTTGATAATCATCTCCAATTAAGCAAACTTGCAAGTTACTAGCAAGAAGTCTGTCTGTTTCTTTCCCATACTTTTCTCAGAGCCACTGGTCAACAGATCCCACAGACCTTGTTACTGAGTTTGTCAAAGGTTGAAAGTCATAAGAAAAACATTAAAAAGTGGACTGCTCACCTAGCCACATGCGTATAATACTCATGTAGTCCTTATTTTTGGCAGAGAGAAGCTTGTCATATGAGGGACAGCCCGCTAAAAGGATGCGGTCATGGTCTTCACACATGGCTATCAAATGCTGCTCTGCGCTCCTTGTGCAGCACACATGGTAATGGGCCAGTTTGGTTATAGCGTGTCTGATGGAGTCATCAATAGTCCCACTGACTTCCCCACCTTCAATGTGAAGAATGCGAATATTCATCAGGGCTGCAGATGTGGCCAGGGCCAAAGCATCAAATCTGTCCCCGTGAACTATCATTATGTCAGGTTTCAGGCGGTTCAGGACATCCGGCAACTTGACTAAGGCAAGGCCCACTGACTCCACCATAGCTGCCTCATCCTCCCCTCTCACAATGGTGTGCAATCTTGTATGGATATCAAAGTCATCTTGTTCAATCATACGATAGGTATTACTGAAGGTAAGAGGAGAAGGGTTAGAGTAAATACAACTTGGTTTCACAGCAACATAGCTCAACAAAATAACCGCACATTAGAGTATTTGTACTGGGGTTGAACGAAGACCTGCTTATCACATCTCCTTCACTGAGGAAACTAGTTTTTAAGATTTTAATAGAATGTTCTCATCCATAAGAAGATCTTCCCTCATATTCCAAGCATCAAGTTCTTCTAGACACCTTTATAAAGGAGGAGCCTTACTGAACGTGTCCTGGAAACCCTCAGAAGTCAAACTCTTTGTTTATGAGTTTGCAGACCCTTTCAGAGAATAGACATGGCATGATTTCTTTTCAGGAAAGGTATGCTGACATCTTGCAGCTAGCATCCATTTTTCAGATTCTCTATTTGAGTTGTATCAAGACTTATAGACTTAAGAAATCATTACACAAAGAGGCCTTAAGTTCAAAGGAAACAGGTTTTTGCACTGAAAAAAGGTTTTCCATACATACTACTAGCTTCATTTCATATTGAGAAAATTAAAACATTCCTTGAATAATGAGAATTGTTATTGTTTATAGTTATGTATTTGAAATAGGAAAGATCATACATCTGTACGAGATTAACTATACTCCACAGTCACTAGACCTGACCTAAGCAGTCTGCACACTCTGGCTGGAATAAAAGAGAAAAAAAACACAGAAATTTCCCATTTGTCTTCAACCCATCTGACACATTCACTGTCTTATTCAAAGGATCACACTTTAAAACTGATTTAAATCAGATTTAATTTTCATTAATTCCACTCTACTACTCACATTCTGTAAATGAAAATCTCACAATCTGCAAGCTAAGCAAAGATAGCAAAGATTATAAAATGCTCAAGAAGCAATCTGCATTCTGCGTAACTACAGTAAACCCTATCTATCTACTCATTCTGCTCACTGCTGTATCACACAGGATATTTTCCTACAAGTAACTTGTCAAGTAATTTGTGGGGTTTTTTTAAAGGCAAATCCTTTTTATGTGACTGAGTGAAGCGGCTCAGATTTTTAGAGCACAAACTGCATTACATTTCCAACTCCACTTACAATTACCCTTCATAGACCTGCCTTTTTCCCTACTATGTGCATTTCTCTCAAAAAACTTAATTCTCTTTTCTTCTATATACTTTCCCTTCTGAAAGATCAAAATCTAGGGAACAAACAAGACTGCATTTTTAGTGGTTTAGTGTCTTTTACTATCCTCGAAATGTTTCAGTAGTAAACATTTCACAGGATCACTATAATTTGAATTCTGCCACTGTTGATTACCCTACTCAAATCACTGGAACACATAGTTTTGAGGACCCGCTAATTCTCCAGGCTCTCCCAGATTAAGGAGTGCAGGGCTAGGTCCTGAAAAAACACCCAAGCAGTACCAGGGTTTAAGAATAATTACCATAAAGCAACTAACAGCAACATTTCTTAGATCAAAATCTCTATTGCTTTGTGCATTAAAAATCATTTACATCAGACAGACAGGTGTTAAACACCTTGGAAATGGAAAAGTAGTATCTCATATTACTTTGCACCAGTCTTGTAGACAGCAAAGGGTTCAGGACTATAGAAAAAATCAAGGGCATGTTTCTCCTCCTGAGCAAATGAAACACGATAACCTTATTTCTCCAGAGAGGATGCAATTCAACATGCTAACCTGGGAAAAAGTTTGATTGGGTTTGTTTGTTTTTTCAAATCAGGTTAGCTTTGTGGTGTTGAATTCACCTTGCCATGTTATGTTATTAGATGGAAACAACGTCCAGTACAAAAGCAAGGAACACAACACTATACTGAGAAAAGGCAGCAGTGGAACTTGTGGTTTTAGTAGTTGGAGATAATATAACTTCCTCACACCCTAGCTTATAAAGTGACGAAATTTGTCATTGGAAAGTCCAAAAAGTGTCTTTACTTGAAAACATGCATAACATTTCTAAAAGTTCAACAATGCTGATATGCTACAAGCCTTATGCTAGTGTCTGATTTTGACTTGCAAACTAAACATTTTCCTATCTTATTTCACTTACTGGGCCCAATCTAGTAAACGCAATCTGAGCAAAACCAACCAAACATCAACCACAGCCCCAGCAAGAATACACATGCTGTTCCTTCTTCCCTCTCCCCAGAAAACAGGAGAATATTCAGCCGGGATGTGGTAAGTCCTTCCAAAGGAAGAGATTGGACCAAGACATTCCGTTCTGCCAGGCAGGTGATCTGACTGCTTACTTATAGGGTGTTACAGAGGGGACCCTAAACTCCCCTGCCAAACCACACCTAACATATCTATCAGTTATTCATTTTGTCAGAAAGAGACAACCACCCTTTCCTTCCTCCACAATCCTGAAAGGAAGAACTAACAGTATTCCCCTGGGATACGGAACATGTAAGTACTTTCTCCAATAACTAACTATAAGGTGGAAGAGCTGCAACTTAACATGACTGAAGATTATCTTCTCTCTGTGAAAATCAAAAACTGTAGCACATTCTCATTTGATAATCACCAGACTTTTAGGGAAATCTGAATGAACTGAGTCTGTGATCCTACTGAAGATCTCAATTACAGCGTTTACACAAAACTTTCTAACATTCCAAGATTGCCTATTTCTGGGTGGTTTTTTTTTCAACCAATCTCAGAAGGAGCTGCAAAATGCAATAAAATCTGAAAAAAAACCCATTTAAAATTTTGATGTGTACATTCACGATGACAAGGATTTTGTCTACCTAACATTCATGATGTTATCACTAACACCCCAGAAACAGATTGGCAGAGATACAAAGATTCACCATACCCGTAATCATCAATCAGGTGGGAACCAAGCACTACGACATCAAGCTCAAAGAACTGTGGTTCTGCCTTAATACCAAACATAATGGGAGCTAATTTTGAATAATCAGCACGGTTGCAAGTAGCAACACAAACACGAAGTTTGTGGTTGTTTTGATTCTTCTCCATGACTTCCTTTTGTTTCTGTTTTGAAAGATTCTTGAAATACACCTCCTGAAATAATAGGGGAAAAAAAGAAAGAAAAGCAGCAGCATTAATAATAATCTTTATAGCAAGTAAATGGTACACTTCACAAACAGCACGCACAAGTGCAGCCCAGAATTGTGGGCACATACTAACTCATCCATTGACAACAGACAACTGATACTTGACAGTACCTATCATTAGAAAATTTTAGAAAAGGACAGATTTTTTTTTTTTTTTTTTAGTTAAAACTCACTTTAATACCTCTAGTCCTATAAATAATATATGAAAAAATTACATAAACAATATCTAAGCATTATGAAATTCAACTCTTATTAAACAGTAAAATGCCTTTTTCCTGGTCAGATGGAAACTTCTGTATAAGTGGAAAAAGTATAGCTGCCTTAATAAATGAAAGAAAAAAAATCTCATATTCCAAAACCACACAGTGGAACAAACTGCTGAAAGATACATCCAGTGACAGACTCAGTGAACAAAAAGAGAAAGTTTTTGCCCAAGTCAGTTTACATATCTGTTAAACACACTTTGGTGAGGTAAAGCAAGTTAAACATTGACTTCTAAACCCCTTCCATACTATTTTGCAAGCCAAAGTACATGCAGATATTAAATAATACAGTATTAGGTTACAGTACGACAACTTTTGGAGACAATTAGACAAATAAGGATGATGGTTACCATCAGGCAATTTGGAGGCTATTAAAAAAAAGGGGGGTTCTGACAATTAAAATGCCACAGAAACTCAGTATTTTTACAGGCAAGATCAACAGTTATTCTAACAAGAGGTTTCTTCTAATACAGTTTTACAGCTTGATTAGTAGCTGATTAAACTATGTAATAATTTTTAATATTTACCTATCTTCTCTTTACCATTTTCCCTTACTGTTTTTATTGTGATTTTTTTTTTTGTTTAGCAATTGGAAAAAACATTGAGAAAAAAAGAAAAGCCTATACAAAAAGTATACAGCAATAACTCCCCCAAAATAACCCAAATTTCCTATCTCCCCCCAAACTGAAACTACTGAGTTGGTTGAAGAGGGCATCAGACTAGCTATTTATAACTTTTTTGTTGTTCTCCTTCAAAAAAATAATTGGAGTTTAAGTAAGTACCATCCTTTCAGTATAAAATCTAACATTGTGTCAGATTTTTACTCTAGTTTAATGCCAAGTGAACTTTTTCCAGATTAACGCACAAGGATTGCTCATCTCTGACTTGGACAGAGCAGTGTCAATCTCTCTACTGGTTCTGACAGCTGGGGAAGCTCTTTCTGAGAAGCTTCTATGCAAGCATGACAATATTGACATCTAATTTCATACTCTTTTTATATTACATTTACTTTTTTTTTTCCCCAGTAAATTTTTAAAAGAAAGGCTATTGTGACATCCCAGTCCTATGAAACTTATGAAATTCAGCAACTTTTCAAAGATTTCCCTGTTTTTAACACAGATTAGCTTAGGTTTTATCAGATATAAAGAAACAATGTTTTGGTACAATAGTCATGTTAGGGTGATCAGGAATCTATCCCAAGTTATGAAAGCTAAGAGACATTTCTAGTCTCCCCTTGCAATCCTTTATGGCTCTGCAGAACTATGACTGACAGTGATTTTTTTTTCTAGTTTAACTCCAACAACCATGACTCCTGAGAGAGTAGTTTACACTACCTTCCAGAATGAAACTGAAGTGGCAAAAAGCAAAGACGGCTGCCGTGACTAAGCTCAGAAGAAATGCCATTTCTCATTTGCTGAAGCAAAGCAGCCATGGCAACGCCAACCAACTTCAGTAGCATAGATGCAGCCTGGAATTTCAGCATTTGATTACTATTGTGACAAATTAAGCTGAGTTCTATGGTTTCGGCCATAAGGTAATAGATACTACTTGATTTACATTGAGCTTCTTCATTTGAATTTACATTTAACCCTCACTTCAAAAGTAGTATGTTAATTAGTTTTACACTTTCAAAGGGTCAGATGATAATCCTTCAGGCAAATTAATTATTTCCTCACACTGAAAACATATGCAGTTATGTGCGTATATGATGGCTGTTTTAAATTAATTTTTGTCTTTCTTTTGGTCCAACAGACTTGAAATATTTTAAATGTATGTAAGAAATTCAGTAGTACCTCATGTCGAAAACATGGAGAATGTACTCTGGGATTTTAGATGCTGCATAAAGGTAGGTTAGAGAGCATGTTATGCTGTATCACTGAGTGAAATCTGAAACCACATCAGCTAGGTTCAGATCTAAGGGAACCACTGCTTTCTCATCTATAAAACAACCTCTTTTTGGAGTTGGCTCTGAGCACTGCATATGTAAAAAGAGCTACTAATTCAAATAAAATCATGTTGAAGATGTGAAGGCCACTTCTGACATCCCTACAAGCTTTGTCTTCAAAACTGCATGAATAACGTTAGTATAGTCAGAAGCAAGCCTCTCACAAGACTCTTCAAGTAAGCCATTCCTGCGTACATATTCTATACCACACAAACCGAGAAGCCAAAGCAAAAGGGCACAGAATAGCGAAGTAACAAAGTGAGCTTACCCAAAGTCTGCTCACTCCGAGTTACCTGCCTGAGCTAGAACCATCACTTCCCCTCCGACAAAGCAGTTACCTCTTCATTTATGCAAAGCAGGCTTTTGAGAAGCAGAATAGTTTTCTGTCCTCCTTGATCTTCAAGCAGTGTCTAAATTTTAGAACCCTTCAATCCAAATCCAGAAAATACCACCTCCTAAAATAGTAAGTCTGTGAGTTTAAAAAAAAAACAAACAACAAACCCAAAAAACCCCTCATGGCCCACCATAACTACAGATCTACCAGAACTGAACTGCTAGATCACACATCCTTCTGGCCACACAGATCACATTTAGTTACAGTTGCTATTGCCTGTAATAATGGTCTCTTGGAATAATTTTGGAGGAAGACACGGAGATATTTCAAAGGCATATGAACTGACCAGAATCAAAAGCAATTCATGCTGTTTGTGCGTTTCAGCTTCTGTTAACATTAGGCTTCAGCAAGCCCCAAAGCAGAATTATTTTTAGCACTGCCTTAAATCTCTACAACACAATAGTTTCGAGAAGTTGCAATTAAGGCACACACACAGGTCTTGGCGCAGACGCAGTTTTTCTGTTGCTGTCAGTTTTAACACCTGCTTTTCTGAAGACCCAAAACATTTACCCTAGCAAAAGGACTGATCACAAGCCAATGTAAGTGCCAACTGCATGGGGAAAATTACCACTAATTAAACCAGTTTAGTGTTTTTCAGTTTAAGGTGGATGATGATTTCCGAAGAAACGTGATGCACTTCCTCCCACACCTGCAAAGCGCCACTCCTGCCGCGCACGCACCCGCAACATACGCCAGCGCACACCTCTGCACGGAAAACCCTCCCGCCACCCGGCACACCCGCGCGCGCCTGTCTGTCCGCTGGCTCGTTTCCTCCACAGGCCCGTTAAATCCGCGTGCGGAACGCCAGTCCTCCAACACGCACAACCGCGCACGTGCCCTGCTGTGGACAGCCTTCCCATTGTCCCCGATTTGCACACGCGTACACACCCACACCAGCGGCCGTTGCCTTTATTCCCCCGGAAAGGGCCGTCTCCCCAAGACGCGTACAGGCACGCACGCCTTGGCAAGGCCGTTCCCGCCGAACGCCACCACAGCCC